TAAAACTGATTTTGTTTTTGATGGTAGCGAACTCTCCGTCCGGGTTTTGCAAAAGCGTTGGTGAGGCCGGAGATCCCTACCCTGCAGGTGGGTGGACGACGGACCGCGACGAGTGCGCGAGCGGACGAGCCGAGCCGCTGACCAGCTTAGCGGTAAGAGGAAACGAAAGACTGAATGTCCATACGCAAATTCGAGTTTGAACGGGTTTAATGGCGCATTCACACTGGAAGCGGATCCGCGTTCGCGAAGCGGTCGCGGATGCGGTTCGCGAGCCACCCCGTTCAGACACACCGAGAGGCGGTTGGCGGTTTCTCGGCGATCACGCGTGATCTTTCGAGACTTGCGTTTGGCAACCCTGTTTTACAATCCAAAATCCACTTTAATTCAAGATCCAAAGCCAAAGGTTTGCTATTTTGGCACTCGGAATATTTTTCTCCGGGATGTTCGCACGCATCACAAGTTCAGGCAGCGAAAAAAGAAGCATGGGCCCGCCAAACTCGCCTGTGATTCCCTCGACGTCGCCCACAAGCAAAGCCCAGCTAGGCGCGCTTTGCTGACTCAAAACAGAATGCCCCCGACCTTTTCTTCGAAGTGGACCCTTCCCGCATGAATAGCTGACCTTGTTTTCGGGATAGAGGGCCAGTTTTCCCCCTCGTTGTTGTTCGCTCTTATCATTTTCGAAGTTGTGAGTGGTGGGGTGGACCGTGGTGCGGGGAAATGTGTTCGGTGCTAGCCGGTCGTGGCTTCGTTGGTGGCGGACTCTCCTCTCGTCACTCGCTCGTCGATCGAGTCTACTGTTTGTTTGACATTAAGCTCAAATAAACGCCGTATGGATTACCTATGCACTGTCTGGTACGTACACTTTATTCCTTGAGTAGGTTCCCTTTATTTATTTTATTAGTAGTAAACGTTACAGGTCGAGCTAGCGCAGGTACCTTGCCCCCTCCGCAGTAGTGCGTTAGCTACGCAATCAAGCTCACGACGTCTCTATCGGCCTTCGTGGTGATCATGCACGGAGTCGAAAGCTTTCAATAGTTCACGCGACTATCTTTGTGGGTAGAAAAGCTGACATTTCGGTCGATCAGGGGCAGGTTCCGATGTTCTACAGGCAGAGATTAACAAGACAGCGAGCTTGGGCCTGTGGCACCCGGAATAATAAACAAACTCTTACCCGAACCAAATCACCGGTGCGAAGCCCGTTAAAATTACGAGTCAATTCTTTTCGCGGCGGATTCAAGTGACGGACGTGAGCATCAAGTTTCTCCGTTGATTTGTCGAAAGCTAAGACTACAGCGCTAGGACTACAGCGCCTTGGATGCCTCACCAGCGACAGGTGCCATCTTGTTTTGAAAGTCACTGTCGTCACGTCAGCGTCGCGTTGTGATTGGTTGCCGCTTTGCGGTTCGTGAACGCGGTTGGGAGAAATCGGTCCCGAAGCGGTTGGCAAAAACACGCTCCAACCGCTCGATCCTAGCCGCTTTGCGGTTGAGAACGCGCGGATCCGCTTCGCGATCGCGGATCCGCTTCGCGATCGCGGATCCGCTTCCAGTGTGAACGCGCCATAAGTGCGTTGTGGCGTCCTTGCGGCCAGGAGCGGTCGCTTGCGGTGCGACGCGCGCCGGCCCGCAACGCTCGGTAGCGCGACGCAAGACAGTTGAGACTCGCTCAACTTTCCAAAGCGTTGCAGTGCGTTTGACCATTCAGAAGCCGAGAAAGGTGAGAAGGATCACGTGATCGCTTGCGCCACTCGACGATGCGTATCCGGTTCTCCGTTCGCGGAACCTGCTTCAAGCGGAAAGAATGCCGGGGAAGCCATCAGGATTGTTTCAAGATCGACTGCTTCAGCTCTGTCTCCGGGACCTCGCCACATTGCCGTTAATTTCGCTCGCTATTGGTGATCCTTTAGCAACGATAGCGCGTTCTTATTGGCTCTTGACTGCACACTCGACTGCGTGTGAACGGATCTGTGTGTACAAGCTTGACGCAAGCGCTCTTCGCAACGCTACGCGTCCGCTTGCCGCTACGGAACGCACCACGCTCAAACGCAAACGTGCGTGTGGTCCTTGAGGTGTTGCGCGTTGCCGACACCGGGATATGGGGTATTGCAGTGTGAGCGGCTGCAGAAATCGTTCCTGTTGTGCCTTCTAAAAGGAGTTTGGTTACAGCAGCATGCTTCCCATGTATTACGTCCTGAGCTCCGCAGTTATGTGAACTTATGAGCCGTTCCCTTAGATTTTTTAAAGTCACCGAGCTTCACAAACGATGAATTAAGGCGCCTGGCCGAAGCGCTGATTAGACAGCACAATGCGGAGTTTGTTCGCTTCAAACCTGATGATTTCGACAGGAGCCTGCCAGGTAGTTGTACCCTACCAAGTCAGATTGGGTTGGTCTGACGTTGGTCACTATGCATGTTAATAACACCCCATTGAACGATCTATATGCGTGATTGCCACAATAAAAAGGAAAAACAAGATGTATTAGGATCCAGAAGGTAACCCATGCACTTCGCCGCATCTACTTTTGCGCTGACGCGAGCAGAAACAATCGCCATCAAAATGCGTGATTATTTATTTTAAACCCTCGGAGTGACGTGTTTTTACTACTTAAGTGCCCCTGGCATAAATGAAATGGCTTATTATGCCCTAAATTGATATCAATATAAACACACCTATCAAACACCGTCAACAGTCAGTCGCAATACTACCTTGCTGATATGTTGAACGTATTTTTTCTCTGGTGCCTTCATCGTTAAAATGAATTCTTTACATAATATTAGTGCGGTCACAGCATGAATATGGAGCCTCCATCTGGGATCCCTGTGCCGCTTACCTAACTCACTCACTGCTGTTAATTCAAAACGGATCCGCCGGTTTTATTCAGGCTAGTCATAATCGCACCGCTAGCGTAACATTAATAAAAAATACTTCATCTCTACCCAGTCCCGCACGTCGCCGCAAAAGTTATAGTATTAGTTTTTCACAAAATGTACCATCCCAACACTGTGTTCAGAGATCAGCGGATAAGCCCATAGTCATTTGTTTCCGCACGCCTAGACCACTGTCCCGAAGTAGGCGTTTCATTTTTCCATTGCAACAAATATATTGCACGATTTTTTCGAATGAATGGAATGATCTACTTGCACAACTTACATCAGTTGTTGATTTTATTATTTGTGCCCGAATGTTCCAAACCATGTATTACCCGTTGTTTAACTATTTCGTGCTTGCCACTGTCACTTTGTTCGTTTTCTCACCACTACCCTTCTTACTGCCTCGGGCCTAGAGGGTTCGAGGTAGTAAAAAGGGTTGTGGAAACCCCCGACACTGCCTACCCTATGAAAAGGGTAGGCAGTGTCGGATGGCAACGCTCTATGCCGACATTGACGCGCGCGAGGCTGGGTACTATTTCCGCGAAAGTATTGCTTCTTTGGTTGCAACCATAAGGCGCAAGTGTGCGTGCCAGACTGGTCTCCACTCGTAGACTCCTTAATGACCATAAAAAGATTTTAGGCGCTCGCGCTTTGCCCAGGGTGGTCTAAACTTTTCATTAGTCACTGTTCGTGTGTGTGTGCGCGCGTGCGTGTGTGTTTTGCTTTTTTTTGCATTGCCACTTTTCTCTATATATGGTCGTCTACACAACGGCAATAGACAAAAAAAGGATCGGTGGCCGAGTAGGTTAAAGCGCACACCCAGCTCGGAGCATGTGGAGCGAAAGCTCGCTCTGCAGAACCCAGGGATCCTGGGTTCAATCCCACCCCTGCCCGTTTCGATCTGGATGAGCATCGCACCGGCTTGCGGTCGTGTATCGCTACTGCGTGAGCACGTTAAAAAGCCCAGGTTAGCAGTCGTACTGCACTGTCAAAATTGCTCATCTACAGTGTAAACTAGTGTCGCTCCATCCTGGCAGACTGACATTACGCTGTATAAACCACTAAACGTCCAATTTGACTTTTTAGAGCGCAGCTCTTGGGCGCCCGTTTCCGGCTTGAGCGGCGTCGGCGTAGCCGGAACCGCGCGGGGCATTATGGGTGAATTTCCCCGCTAAATGTAGCGGAAAAAGTTCCCCGATAAATCTAGCGGAAAAATTTCCCCGCTAAATTTAGCAGAAAAATTTCCCCGCTAAATCCAGCGGAAAGAAGTTCCCCGCTAAATCTAGCGGAAAACTTCCCCCGCTAAATCTAGCGGAAAGATTTCTCTGGGGGTCACGTGACCCCCCGAGGTCACGTGACACCCCCAAGTTACGTGACCCCCCACGTGACCTCGGGGAGGGGGATCACGTGACCCCCGAGGTCACGTGACCCTATAGGTTACGTGACCCCACCAAGGTCACGTGACCTCGGGGGGGGGGTCACGTGGCTCCAAGGTCATGTGACCCCTCCCCCAGGTTATGTGCCCCCTTTCCCCGAGGTCACGTGACCTCACACTCGAGAACACGTGACCCTCAGTACCCTTCCCACCTCCTCCCCAAGAGCTCCGCTCTAATTCGGCGTTACAGGGAGTTTAAATGGCTTTCATTTTTTTAGACGAGAAATTCTTCAACATTCTCATGCCAGATAGCCCTAGTTAAGGTAAAAGCCAAGCAATTGCAAACAAAAGCCACAATGACCCTTAGGACGTCATTTACTAGATATTATATTTATTGTTTAAAAACAATGCTACTACCATCCGACAGACTACAAGCTTAGCTTTTTGCAAAATAGTTCTATGTGTGTTACACGTAAACGTAACGAACCTTTCATTTCAGGAGAAACATTGCCTACAAATGCAAACCTAATTTCGACAAAAATATACATTAATTGACGTTCAATAAAACAAGAAAACCTTTATTATAAATCTCGGTTATTAAAATAGAACGAGAGAGAGAGATATATTTGTTTACTGGCATAACGTTCATCCCCGGTCCGGCATAACCGATCTGATGCATTTTGGACATCGCTACTCATACAAATAAAGATATATGTTCTATGCCTCACAAAAACAGCAATACAAAGCGAACCAATCTTATATCTGGCTTTTTACTGGCATGTAAGGGAAATCAACCTTCTGTCTTGGGATGTGAGACCCGACGTAGCACAGCCACGTCAAGACTCCAATCAGGGCAAGGAAAAGCAATGCTCCCTCCATGTGCCACGTAAACAAAGCCACAGCGTACTTAACGTTCTGGTGATTGTGTTGCCAAGAGTCGAAGTCAGGGCTGACAAGAGAGAAGGCAATTTGCAAGACCCAGGATCCCTGGACAGCTCCGAAGAAAGCTGTTCCCAGAGGAGCCAGGACACTGTCCTCCAGAATCATCTCGAAGCAGAGGCAGGCCGCCTTCGCTACCACCGTGTAGATAATGAGTCCATGCATCAACGTGTCCAAAGGTGGTCTTCCGTCCAGGTGTGAATGGAAGACCAGTACTTCTACAAAGAACGCCAACAGGAGGACGGCACGGTTGGCACCTCGAGGAACCAAGGTTTCCTTGCAACTCAGGACATCTAGGATTCCACTCGGGATGTAAACGGAGTACATGCATGCATGTTGGATATTTTCCATGTGTGCGATGCGACCGTTTTCTGTACCCTTGAAGACCTGAATGCCCATGCCGATCGAAGCCACGACCACCTTGAAGACCCCTTCGAACCATACAGCTTGCTGTAATGTAGCGATCACGTGGGCTGAAGGGCCGGCGTGCTTGGCGTTGCGGAGTCGGTCGATGGCGTAACGGCGCCACGCGCGAAACATCCACAATGTTGCTAGTGACAGGATGAATGTTCCGCCCAGTAGATGCACATAAAATGCGTCAGTTTTCACCATTGGCATTTTGCGTGTCGTACTTCGGGCCCGGTGTTCTCTGAAAAGTAAGAAAATGATCTGGCATCTCGAACTTTGAACGGTACTGATAAATGCGTTTTAACGCAAGTCCTTAACGAAAGAGAAGTGTTAAGGCTAACATCGATCATGCCAATGGGATGCTAGTTTTGTCAGACGCCCAAATCAACTCTATTTTTTATTATTACTGCACAGATGTGTACGTCTCTGTGTGTGTAGAAATTTTAGCAAGCTTGCCCGTAAATTTCTAATATATATGAATACGCTTACTGAAATGGTCAACAATGCCAACCAGACTTTTGGGTCGAAAGTTTATTTCAGGTTTTTTTGACACCGTACATTCTATTCTGTCTCACAGAAGAACCTTTGTGCCTATGCGTGAGAACAGGCAGTTCATGAAGTAATGCTACCTAAGTAACTGTAAAATGACCTTCTAGGGGAAAAAAAGAAAACACTAAAAAGACCTAATATACTATAATTATGCAATCAAAAATTCTCCACAACATTGTGGGAACAATGCGCTCACATAAGAGAAATCATTTACATCACTCGAGCAAATTACAACTTCACTCGTTCAAACATGTTTAGAATTACACCGTAAGCACTGCGTTTGATCAGTGAGCTAAATCGCAACTATATTTGTTTACTCTAAATGCAGGATACCCTTAAAAAATTGCATTTCTTTGTGACTAAGTCAAATCCAAATAATATATCTCTCATTAGCGGCGCGGGAAATGGCGACTCGATAACTGACTCACAGCAGTAAATAATTAAGGTTAAATTAATTAGCTATAATTTGACAAAAACCCTCGTGTTTTGTGATTCCGGTGAACGATACTTTCCAAGTTCACAGTGCCTTGGTGGGGAACCTCGCTGTAGTCTATACGGACGTTTGATTAGACGAAGATTATTTTCGATAGGATCTACTACCGCTGACATGGCATATTCTTTAAATGCGACCTGTGGCGCCGTCGCTAGACAGGAGCACCTTCCTGACTGCCGGCTTTACTCGGCCGTCTAATCTCTGATTCCCTCGGCGAGCCTAAAGCTATACCCTCAATATACGTCCCTTAACAGACCATTTTCACAAGTGCGGGCTGCCTAGTAGCTGTTGTGCTGATTATTCGATCCCGCCATTGCTTGGACCCGTACTCGAAGCATGCATTGGACACGAGGGCTGTGTCGGCGTTCGGCTTGAACACGGCTTTGCTCATGTCGAAAGCGAGTATGACGTCAGCGTTCGGCCGAAACTCGTGTCCAATCACACACTTTGTGCCCAAGAAATGACGACCGCCAATATTCCTCGATGTGGTTTCGATTAGGGTATGTTGCCATCGGTTCTTGGCGTCGGTCGCGACCGCATGCCACACGCCGAGGTTGGCGAACACTGAGTCACCTGCTATCATAAACGTCCCATAGCCAAACGTAAACCTTTATTATCTTGTAAACAGGATATGTGGCAGCATCCGGCGTTTACCTTTTCAAAAAATTCCTTTTTTTTTTTACGGGAACGGAATTAAGCTTCGATATTTCACAGGTGACGAAACAATTGAACATTTGTTTTAGACTGAGCTCTAGGACGATTGGGAAAAAGGTGACTCGAGTGGCCTGACTATTGTAAACAGATCTACCGCGTAGAAGTAACACTCGAGGCTGGCTCAGACATTTGCGTCGACCGCGTTGCGCTGCGCTGGGTGGTGCAGCGCCGCGCCGCCCCGTTGGCTCATCGTAAGGGTTGCCATAGCAACAGCTCGACGCAAGCAGTCTTAACGAAGTCAAACGCAGTCAAACGCCGTGAACGATCCTTAACACAAATATATAGGAGCAAAATTAAACGAGCTAAAGTAACAATTGTATTAAGCCAGGGTAAGTTAAGATATTCAGCTCTGTCAAAACAGAAGAAACCTTTCGTAAGACGACTTTAAAATTGTGTATCTGTTGGAGGTATTAATCTCTACCGCGGTTAAAGTGCGGTGTGTACTAAGAGTAAAATCTGATGAGATATATTCTTTCTGTGCCGTAGTTCGACGTACGGCTGAATGCGTACCTGACGACCCGTTAGTGTGTTGTGTGCGTACTTACGACGTCATCTCGTTTTGTGCGGCACAGAAATTATTCTACCCCAAGAACGCGTAATAAACTAGCGACTAAGATGCACCTTTCATTATGATTTCAGCCTGTCACGCGAACGTATCCCTTTGTCCGGCAATTCTATGCTCGATTCGGTATGTCAGCCTATCCTAAAGGACTGTCGATGCCTCGGTAGAGTTACGTTACCCAGGTACGTAGTTGCTGGGCACAGAAATGGAACCGAGGCCCGACTAATTGGAGGAGACTTTTCCAGTGGAGGCTGCGAGCTAGTCCAACCAATCCAGCGCAGCCAACGTGTCACGTGACAACGCGCCCAGGGAGTCGTCCCTCGTTCGAGTCACGTCACACTCGGATGACATTGGAATAGCTTTATTGGCTCGTACAGACCCATACGCTTCGAGGTCGATACGAAGTATACCCTCCAAACACTGGTGTTAAACAAAAATTAACAAAAAGTTCGTGGCGCCATCTGGTGGTCAAAACAGTAACAATTGGTGTGTTCCTGGCGCACCGTTTCCACGCGGGTTTGTCAGCGTTTACCATGCCTCGTAAAGTTGCCTACAGCACGCGGAAGCCAAAAAGAAAAATAAAAAAAACTAGCCACTGGTTGTTTTTTGACTGCCTGAATGGCTGAATCCATGAAGATGAGAATCTTTCCTTTGTAAAGTGCGAGCGATTTCAGGGCAAGCCGCACACTTTAAGAAATGCTTGCGTGTCTCCTTACCCGCAAAACACTCGAAGAGCGAATCTCTGCGTTCTACGAAATCAGCTCAGCGAATAATGAGGCGGAACATCCGTTCATACCTCAAAATGAAGTCTGCGCTGTGTCATTACGCAATGCAAAGCGTCATGCTTGCATCGCGTAATGCCACGGCGCAGACTTCATCTTTAGGTCTAAACGAATGTTCCCCCTCATCATTCGCTCAGCTGATTTCGTAGATCGCAGAGATTGGCTCTTCGAGTGTTTCGCGGGTAAGTAGACGCGCAGGCATTTCTTAGAGTGTGGGAAGTGGGGCTGGCGGAGCGTCGGCGTCATACTAAATCGCGGTGTTTCCACGGTGTGACCCGCCACGTAAGCTCCGTTCGCGTGTGCGTTGTTGTTGTTTTCTTCAGCTTAGTTTGTACGTTCTACCGGCCCCGTTTTTGTGCAAAGTCCTAATGGCAGTCCATGAACGGAGAAGCTATAGATGTCCTAAAACGCCGACTTCGTCGGGAGCGATATGAACCTCACCAGATGACCAGTCTTTCTAAATATGTATAAGAAAGAGGGCAATCTTTCGGCGTTATCGAAACTTTTCAACAAAATATCGACGGTTAACGTGACTGCAGCGCTTCACACGAAAAATATAAGTCACTGAAATTCGTCTTGAAACCTCCAAAATATGGGAAGTGTGTAGCACATTCTTTTTTTGTTCGTTAAGACGTCTACATCTTTTTACGTTAAACGCTTTTTGGCTAGGTGACCAGCATTTCGTGGAGCCTGAGAAGTGAAGCATGATAAGCGTGGACGCGTAGCTCAATCCTGATTGGTTAACAGGAGAGGTCATGTGACCAAAGGGGACAAGCGAGGATGAGTGAGGTAGGTGAGGAGGACCTCGACCATATCTGCACACTGGGGTAGAAGAGCTCGAGATTATAGAAGGCTCTGCGAAATCGTCTGGTTTATCACCCCTGCATACATGAAATTCAGAGTATCGCTAAACATTTACGTTGCTATGTCTCCCGTATGCAACAAAATTTCCTAGCGATTTGCCATATATTTTGTTCTTTTATACATAAATTATAAACACGTTTTCTTATATTGTTCGCGTTTTTTTGCATGCTTATTGGTTTGTTACACGAATAAAAAAAGCTTGTAGATTCTATATGGCTCGCCCTCGACGGCCGAGATGATTGTTTTACCAAGGCTCAAGACGAAAATGTTGACAAAATCGCCAGCGCGATCCTGTGTTTTGCCAGTGGCAGTCATGCACGTTGGCGTTGCGAGTGGGATTCGCGCCCAGATTAGGGAGCTTCCGCGAATTCACGGAATTAGGGTGAGTTAGTTCGCGGTTACCTTGTCAATTACTTCTCTGTACGCACCAACCAGTTCTTACGCTTCACGTAAGCTCGGTGCGTCACGCAAATTTTACAAATATTAGTTTAATTAATTTGTTTTCTTTTTTCTTTAGCAAGGCACGATGGCAACAACTTCTAATCTGTAACTGACGAACTTTCGGTCGATTTTTTGGGGTTAGCGAGCATAGAGGGCTTCACAAAATGCCATCGTCACACTCGATCCTCTGCAATGCGTTCGTGTTTTCTCAGAAAATTGTATGTTGGACGTGAAATGAGCTAAACCCATTCCTCTGCCATGTTAGTTTTGATGAACTTTTTCATTCTTTTTTTTCATCACACGTCAGCTTGTCAAATGAGATGGCTTGCTTGAGTCAATCAATACTCCTGGAGCAACTAGCGTTAAACGACTCTTCCTGAATAGTAAGCTAGCTCGTTTTGAAATAATGGATTTAAAATTTAAAAAAAAACCTTTTTCCAGTAACGAGCGCCGCCTTGCGGGGTTGTCTTCGAACTACAAATGGAGGGCTGCTCAAATTTCCTCCCGCCGTCGAAATACATTGGCATCGTGCCGCTGTATATATCTTGGTTGCGTTCAAAAATTCAAATTTCCAGTCTTTTAAGTTCCGTATTCATAAAGCTCTGAATTGCTTAGAAATCGATAATATATGATTACCTCATCTTACTTTATTTACAGTCTCTGCTCAAGAAATACTAAACCTAAAGTGACAACAGTTTTTCTTTGATAAATATCTGAAGGGACGGTTTCACGCAAGTCGCCAAAAACGTGCGCGTATACCAACAGCGACTTTGTGATTTTCGTTCCTTGAAAGAAATTT